GGCCTGTCCTAGGTTCTGGGCATACACAGACAAAAAAGAATGTGGTAGGGTAAAAAAAAAAAGATGCCTGCAGCTCTTTAGCCACCAATATAGATAGTCTTTAAGGTATACTGTTAAGTTTTAAAAAAAAAAAGCAAGGTACAAAAGAGCTTGTCTAGTATGCTTCTTTGTGTAAAAAGTGGGGGAAAATATATACATATTTACTTGTTAGGAATAAACTAGAAAGGATAAACAAGAACACTAGAACACAGGCTGACTTTAGTGCTGGAGAATTGAGTAGCTAGAAAATATTGAAGGGAAGGCTAAACTACAAACTCATACCCTCTGAATTTCAAACCATAAAAATGTCTTACCCAACCACAAGATAAAAAAGTTTTTTTTAAAGGATGAGATTTTGGGCCGGCCCGGCGCCACTGAGGGTTCGGATCCCATATAGAGACCAGTCCGCTCACTGGTTGAGCGCGGTGCGGGCGCGACACCGAGGGTTGCAATCCTGTTACCGGTCACGAAAAAAGACAAAAAGGAAAAAAAAAAAAAGGATGAGATTTTAAAGAGATGTGGTTTGGACTCAACAGTCCTATTTTTATGAAGCAACTCCAGAGAAACACTTACATACAGGAGCCTAAACAGGCATATACATGTACGTGGATGTTCCCTGTAGTGCTATGTGTAGTCATAAAAACATTATAAATCACCTAAATAGCCATTGCTGGGGAAAGATAAACTGTGATACATCCACACCTGTAATACTATGCATCAGAATGAAGCTGACACTAATGGAAGGCATTAGAAAGAGTTCTAAGACAGACTGTTAAATGAAAAACAAAAACATGTAATACAATAATACGTATCCAATCTGTTTTTTTAAAAACTACATATTTCTACATATAATATCTATGTGTATAAATGAAGAAAGAAGGACCTGAAAGGATATACCAGAAATCAATTACAGAGAAGGTAGTATGATTAAGGTGTCTTAATATATAATAGCTCATTGGGAAAAGTGCTTTGTGTGAATTATCTTCTAATTCTCTTACCAACCCAATGAGGTAGGTCCTATTATTATCGCTTTTTTATATTTGAAGAAATTGCAGCTGAGAGAGGTTAAATAACTTGCTTTAGTCACACTCCAAACCCCAGATTTAAATTTGATTACTCCAGCATGCTGCTTTTTACTTTACTTACTTCTAGAGATCAATTTTAGTTCTTGAAAAAAAATAAACTAAAACAAAAGAGTTGTGGTCTCTGACCCAAAGGAGCTGCCCCTAGCCAGACAGGGGCCAGACAGTGGGCAGTGGCATCCAGAGCAGTGTCATCAGTGCTGAGGGAGGAGCATCCAGAGCAGTGTGGTTAGTGCTGTGGGAGGGGCCGGGGGCTTACATCCGAGGAGCTAGGCTCCTGTAAGGTCCTCAGCAACACTCCTTCTGCCAGGGCCCGGTCCATGGCCTGCCTTGCCAGCTCCTCCAAATGCTGCTCATCCTCCAAGAGGCTCCCCCAGCTGGTGGCCATCCCAACCTGCACAGACAGAGGAGAGCTTGGTGACAGATGGCCTGCAGCCCAGCAAACACTGAAACTGACAAAAACTGCCAACACAGTGAGACTCTGATCTCTGTTGGATGAGACAGTGTGGTGCAGGGGAGTGAACACTAGCTAGTCCCAGCTCTTAATTCCATGTGCACAAAACAGAAAGCTTGACAAAGCATTTCCATTGCCACTCTTTGGATTTATATATATGTAATATATACATTAATATATATATATTTTTTTGGAGGGGTGCTGGCTGGTATGGGGATCTGAACCCTTGACTTTGGTGTTATAACACTGCATGCTAACCAAATGAGCTAACTGGCCAGCTCCATCTTTTGATTTCTAATGCAATGGCATTACTCTCATAGTAAGGAGGCAGAGGCTCAGAGAGGTGAAATGACTTGCCCTAGGTAATGACTGGTAAAGCCTGGACTTGAACGCAGATCCCTGAACTCCCAGACCAATGTTCTTCATTGGAGAAAGAGGCACTAATGTCGTAAGTGACTGGGGCAAGTTCCTTCCCACTTCCGCATCCCCCCAACCCAGAGCTGCAGATTCCACACCTGTGAAACAAAGGGGATGGGTAGGTGAATGGTTTCTAAACCTGGCTGGACAATCTGGGAAGCTTGGGAAAGAATACAGATTCCTAGGCCCCACCCCCAGATATTTTGATTCTGAAGAGTTTAAGTCTGTATTTTTAACAAACTTTCCTGGAATGGGAGCCACTGCAGTAGATTATTAATTTCTAGCTCCAACAACCCATGTCAGCAGATCTCAAATTACATGGGAGGTAATGAAGATGTTCTTTGTGGAATACCATGAAATGTGGATTAGATGGACTCTCTCTGAAGTAAAATGAATGGCCTCCCAAAGTCACTGAAGCTTAATCCTGACTGTAACTGTTGAGGAAACCATATTATGGTAGTTAAAAGGTGGGACCTTGAAGAGGTGATAAGATTGTGAGGACCATGCCTAGTAAATGGATTAATAAAGGTGGTCATGG